CTAGATGCTTTACCTAGCAACTTTCAACTTTTCTCCTACGATCTTTTCCCCTTTTACTTGTTGCAAGCATAGGAATGTATATGCATGCTGGACTCCCAGCTTGCTAAGTGCAGATATTAGTTAAATATCCCAGTTGATTTAGCAGCAGCCCAGTGAGGATGATGTTGCCGTCATCTGCATCTGTGATTGACAGATGAAGATACAAGCCGTGCACAGACTTCTGTAGTAACTTGCTTAGTATTGCAAGGATAGCAAGTGATAATTTTAAGGAAAAACTTAAATTTTCTGCCTCCTAGTTTTGTGAAATTTTCTCTATATTAGACCTGAGTGTGTTTAAATAAAGAAGGTCAGATGTGCTTTCTTCTCTTTTGTCTCCTATGGTTGTTATTGATAACCTGTAAATCTCATTTTCATTAGCATTCCCTAAGCTAAGTTTCCATTGTAGGTTGTGGATAAAAAGACAAAAATCATGCCTGGGGAATAAAGGGAACAATATACCAGGTGGCAGACAGTGCAGGGATTTTTTTTTGAGAGGTATACTGCACAGATTGTCACCCCCTCAGAAACGGAATGAAATTAAGGAACAAAGAATTAAGTCTAAGTCCATCTGCTTCTCTTTGAATTAAACCCTTCATTAAAGGAGTCTAAAATAGTTTTCTTAATGTGCATTTTAAGGCTGTTTCTCAGTCAATAAAGTATATTAATTTATCCTACTTTTGGTAAATCGAGGTCGAACAACTAAGGAATGTACCCCATGTAGAGGTACACGTAATCATGCCAAACACACTCAGCCATTAATATCTTCTCTGTGAAATGTTTATGACTGTAATTGTAGCTCTGATTATATATTGTGAGAACTTGAAGCACGTTATTATATTGGGTGACTAATGGAATTTGGTAACAATGCACAGAAATTAGTATTCTAGAAAGAGTTTAGTTTTAAATTGTATTCTTTCCTGAGTTTGAAGTGGATTTCATGGCTCATCTACCTCACAGTATGTTTTGTGGCTGACAGAAATCTTTCCACTGAATAGTAAACATCAAAGACAATTTAGTCTTCCCTTAGCTTGCCTTTGCTTGTCTCAGCTTTCTCATCACTAGTTCAAAATATCAAAAAACAACAACCACCAATACTGTTAATTTACTTGATTACTGTTAATTCACTTTTATCCTTACAGGCAAGGGAAGAGGGCACATCTGTCAACACTTCAGTAGGTGTATTGGGGTTTCTAAGAGTGTGGTCTCCAAGCTTTGCAGGGTGTCATTGTGGGCCTTGGTCTATTAGCCATTCTTTTCCTGATCAAGGTAGACCATGTGTCTTTGGGCACCCCAGCACCCTTTTTATCATTGGGTGGGCTTACATGCTAAAAAGAACACATTTCTTCCACTTTTCTAAAAATGACTTTAATGTTATTATCTATAATGCAAAGTTTATATATTGGAACATTTTCAGCAAATGTAAGACTGTTTTAATAATTGCTTGAATTTGCTTGTATAGGGTAAAAGTTCATACCAAGGGAGCCTTTAAAATAGGAGCAGATATTACTTGTTATTCAATAGTTTTTCTTCAATTAAATCAAATTCACCATTCTGCAAAACTGGAAAGCACCAACTCTTAACCAAAATGAGAAAGGGACCATTTCACTGCTTTATTATTATAATGAGGGTGGGTTGCTAAAACTATCATCACAGGAGAATTAACCTAGAAAGTTTTAATGATACAAGGAACATCTTTTATGGTCCTGTGCACTGGGTTCCTCATTTTCTCCTTAGTGGAGGAAAGAAAAGGAAGCAGTTAAAAACTCCAGAGGGATGGCTGTGGCATGTTAATAGAAGTGGGAGACACTATTTTAATCATCACTTTCTAGGGAAATGCATCCACAGATAGCTTCTCCACCTGGGTCTTTCCCATGCCACATTACCCACATTGATAGTGCCCTGCGGTAGCTTTCCTGTGCACACACAATTTGATACACGCATAAGATGAGTTTCATTGTTGCTGTGGTATCAGAATGAGTCCCTAGGGCTGCTGACATTAAGTACCCCTCTGTGACTTGGGGAATAAGTGTTTTTCTCTCAAGCTGAAAGTATAAAACAGTGTTCATTATCTGTAATATAAAAGTCTATATAATGATGCCTGCTAAGATCTCTTTCTTTGTGAACTCCATTTGGGTTTTGTGTATGTAATCAAACAAATAAATTTTAAGTCTATTGCTTGTTCAACTGGGAAGAATTTCCTTAAATAGAAAATATCTCTATTAGGTAAACGTACTGTGTGTGATATTATTCTATGTATATGTAAAACATCATGCAGCATATATTTAGTAAAAGTACATCGAACATAAAAGTTAGTTTTATGAATACTTCTGAAGAGGACACCCATGTGATGACCACTAAATCCACAAATGATCATGGTTAACACTCCATAACACTTCAGCTGCATATTCCAAGTGATCTGTAGTTTTCTGCACATAATCCCTGCCTCTGTGCATTTGCATCTGCTGATCCCTCTCTCTGAAACCACCCACCTCCTTCCGTCCCTACACACACATTATAAGGCTGGCAAACTCCTTCTCGTCCTTGTGTATTGACTGAAAAGATGCCATAGCTCTCTGTAGCCCATGTCTGCAGGGCACCTTTAAATGTCTCCTTTAGGGTATAATAATTGGTTTGTCTGTGAGCTTCTCAAAATTGGCATCTTATCTGCATGTTTTGGTTTAACCCTTAGTACTGGACAATGCTTGATACATTGTGGGTATTCAATAAATAATGCTCAAGTGAATTGACAGGCATTTCCACTTGGATAAATCCCTCTAAAAAACACCTCCAAAATGCACTATCATTTTGCCCAGACTTCTGAGTCTCACTGAGGAAGGTGGAAACCCAGTGATGTTTATGACCCTTCTCTTCCCTTCAGACACTTCTGCCTCCGTATTTTCTGTCTCACCTCTCTTCTTATTACACACCTTCATTTTTGTCTCCCATTTCTCAAATCTCCACTCGGTTCCTGTCATCAAGATTAAACTTCTTCAAGCTTTGTTCTTTTCCTGTTTCTCTTCTTCCAGAAAATGTTTGGTTTTCAATGCCATATAGCTGAAGGAACAAGTGCCAGATGCTCAGCTTCCTCATGTTTGGTTTTCCCACCATTTCTTCAGTGAAGGCTCTGTAATGCATTTGCTCATGTGAAGCACTTAGTCCTGCAATTAAGATTGTTATTTTCTAACACTCATAAGGCAACCTCCAACATTGTAAACCATGTGGCCTTGGGGAACCATGGCACCAGTCACTCTGTCCTGCAAAGTCCTTGCTGTGTTGGCCAGAGTTTGGGAAGATTTTCCCATATTTTTACACTGTGTGGGATGGGTTAAGGATTCCTCTAAAACGGGGGAAAGAAAATGTGCAAGATCAGAGTGAGCAAGAGAAGAAACTCACTGTTTCCTGTCCTCTCTTCATCCCACAGAGAGGTGTGCTAGAGCCAGGTGTTTGGTTGGAACCGCTGTGTGGGTTTGCATTTCGGGGGAGGGACTCCACCTCCTATTTGACCTTATTGCATGGCAACCTTAAGTGCAGGAAAATAATCAGACCATTTGCACCAGAAATTTGAAATTGGTGGCAGCTGTTGTAGAAGTTGCCTGAGAACACCAGCTGCTGGTACTTAGGGACTTTGAGGCATTTGTGAAGTTACAGCCACTCCTGCCAGAGGTCTATTAGTAGCTGAATGATGATGCAGTGCCTTCCGCTGAGAGAAAGGGACTAGCTGCCTTCATCCAATTGGCTCATTGTCCAGGAAACATAGGTTGGACATCTGGAGTCACTTTAAGACAGCTGCTCATTGTATCAAGTGCTGTCTGACTGGTGGCAGTCCACTGTCTAACAGGGTGATGTGTGTGTCACAAACCTCATAGCTCAGTGTCCTTAGCTGGACTTTCAGAGTTTCCTTCCTCTGGCCCATATCCCTTTCTGGTGTCATCTCTCATGACTTCTCATTATGAATTCTATGCTACAGCCAAATGGAATACTAAGTGTTCTACATGAGTCCCCTTCCACATTGCCACAATGCCTGGACGTCTGCTGTCCTTTACTCCTGGATGCTTCTCTAGCCTTCTCCTTCCTATCCCCTTCTCCTGTAATGTTCTCTGTCTCTAAGTGTCTCCAGGCATGAATACTTCAAGGTTCAACCCAAAGGTTCTTTCTTGTCTGGGTATTAGCTCATGTTGTACCTCCTCTTCCTCCCCACTTCTCTAAGCTTAATAATACTTCCATGAACTTTTCTCTGAGCCCTTAGGGGAAAAATACTGTTTTTTTCTCTGCTGATTCACCTCCACTATAGTAGTTAACTTTAAATTTGGTATTAACACACACTCACCCTTGTCTAACACATATGCGTTTCTTTTTGCCCCTACTTGATGGCAAGTCCATCCAGAGACACAATCATGTCTTACGTGCCTGGAGCAACTTGCATATTATAGATGTTCAAAGATGGATAATGAATAAATGAAAATATCAGGGCATGAGGTATGTGGGACATGCAAGGGGCAGATTCATATCTTTGCTTTGGCCTGATGAACTGAGTATGTATGTGAGCGAATGGGAGCATCTCTGCCCTTCTTCCTAATACACCCTGCTGTCATACCCTCACACCCTTGCTTACACTCAGAGAGACTCTCAAGATCATTTTCAACCAAAAGAACAAGAAGGCCTGATTCATCATGGTTTAGAAATGGCTTATAGGATAGAATAGGAACCCAAGCCATGCACTTTATGCTTTCAAAACGTATTAGAGTATATATTAAACTGATAAGTTAGCTATCTTCTTGTTTCCATTCCAATTTAACTGAGAAGTGATATAAGAGGAAATAATTATCCCAACTGCAAAGAAATATTCAAGCAAGTCTCAAGATAATATTACTTTTAAAAATAAAGAAAGTGATGTCAATGACATAAAATACAGAAGAAAGATCTGTGAGATTCCTTAATGAGTTCACATTTTTGCCTTCCAGGAGACAGAGCTGCTGGATCTCAGCCTTGTCAAGGATGCAAGATGTGGGCGACACGCCAAAGCTCCCAAGGTAGGAGGCAGTGCATTGTACATGCACCAGATGCTGCCTTGATTGTTTAGTTGTGTCTTGATATCAATTAATTGCCCCAATGAAAAGTTTCTCTGTTGTAGATGTAAAACACAACAGTCAGTACACCCTAAACATTTTCACTTTTATTGAAAAATGGAAACATTGTGGGCAGGAACTTGCTTTATGTCCTCTAATTATATTTTTGATTGGAAAAAAAAGGAATGTCAAAGCTACTGGGTAATTCTAAATGGTTAAAATGTGCTTGGATGATTTGCAGAAATCCTTGAACCTTGTAAGCATATGGGAAATAACCTTTAGAAATGATAAATGGTGAACCTATATAGTTCAAATATTGAGCAATGAAATAATTCCATCCATGAAGCCAAATGGAGTATAGTCTTCATTCTGTGAATGTTGCTAGTGAAGATCAGCATACTTTGGGATCAGTTGAGTGCAAAGTTATTTGCTTTGATTTGAGAAACTTGCTGCAGAAATATTCAAGACGCATTTGCCGTGCGTTTATTTATTGAATATTATTTTGAAATGTTGAATGAAGAACATCTTTTTTTAAACTTAGGCTATCTGATAGGGTATCGTAGCAGGATGTATTGACTTGACATCAAAGTTGAAAACTATTCTTTGTTGTATGTAAAATTTATTACCTTAAATACTTCATTTTGAGCAGAGAGAGTATTGGCAAATAGAGGGGTATAGTTGCCATTTAGAAGCTCATTGTCACTTCTCATAATTGATGCAAAACTAGTCATTTTCTATTTGAGTGTCTTCCTACAAGTTTTATTTTTTCTTTTAAAAGTCAAAGTACTTTCATTGACATCAAAATGATCTGTTGCTTTAGAGACAGAAGAAAAAAAATCACCTCTGTTGATGAAAGATGCCAAACTCTGTAAAATATTTAAGAAGGATTATTCTGAGCCAAATGTGGGTGACCTAAGCCCATGGCACTGTCCCACAAGGTCTGAAAACATGCACCCAAGTTGACTGAATTGCAGCTTGGTTATATATGTATGTATTAGGAAGACGGAAGTTACAAAAACACATAAGTCAATACATATGATGTTTACATTGGTTTGACCAGAGAAGACAAGACATCTCCAAGATGGGGGGCAGGGAGCCTAAAGGCCATAGCTGGATTCAAAGATTTGGTCTTCCTGATGAATTTTGAAATCAATAAAGGAAATGCCACATTGTGATAAAGGGCTTTTATTCTCAAGGTCCTTGAGAATATTCCTTGATACATAGATAAAGCCTCACAGGTGGTTACCCTGAGAGTGAGTAGATATGAAATGTCTAGCTCCTCTATGGATCACCAAAGGGGATCCTATACAGATGCAAATTCCCCCCAAGAGATGGCTTTGTAGGGTCATAAAATATTTTTTATTCCTTTCTTTATCAGTTATGTGATGTTATGACAGCGTCAGGTTGGAAAGTAAAAAAGTAAGCCACGTTGGGTAGAGTTAACTTTAAAAACAAAACAAAACAAAATTGTCTGATGAGACTTTCCAGGCTCCTTTTTTAGGAATTTGGCAGGAAAGGGAAAAAAAGGCAGGGTTTAATCCTACCTGGAATGACTATTCATGAGAGACTTCACAAGGCTGTAGGTGCTAGCAAATTTTTACAGTACAGCAAATGCACAGCTGATGCTGTTTTGCTGAAAGGGTCTAAATGATCTACAGCAAAACATTAAAAAAATTTTGAAAGAAAAATGAAAATTATGTTTAGGAAGGCTTCTATGAGTGTTTCATATAAAACTAGCCCATTATTTACATTCATCTCCCATATGAATTTCACTAGTTTGGCCTTTCAGTGTTGTGCCTGGCTTATCATAATTAATGACTTGTTGATGATTCAAAACTGTTCACAATTTTTAGTGCAGAAAAGAATATATGTATATCTATATATATTTTTCTCCCAACAACATTTCAGCCAAGTTTTATGGGAGCCTATTAGTTTCAAGAACTATATTATAGTGTAGCTATAAAGTTTGTCTTTATTTTTTTAAAGATGTGGGGTACAATTCAGGAGTAGGTTGATAAGTGGTCATTGTACATTGTACAGGTAAAATTTGGATCTCCCTTTTTCACCACTTCCCCTGGTTTGAGATCAGGTACTCTTATTAATGTTATGTGTCCTCCTGGCAGTTTCCCACTATTGCCAATCCCTTTCTTAAAGTATTATGGTAAATGTTCAGGGTCCACTTATGAGTGAGAACATGTGGAACTCAGCTCTCTGTTTCTGTGATAGATCACTGAATGTTATAGACTCTAAATCCATCTAAGTTGCTGCGAAGTTCATAATTTTATCCTTCTTTATGGCTGCGTAATATTTTAACACAAGTTTATTGACCTAACTTAAAATTTCATTATCAATATGGGTTAAAGACTGTTGCCTACACCACATCAGATTCTCCCTTGTCTCCAGGCATTGTAAATCACAGTCAATTCTTCTACCACGTGGAGAGTTTCTTTCAGGTTTGAATCTGCCTCTTGTATTACAGTGCACAGCTTGCTTCTCAGTTAAGTGTTTTGTTTATGGATGAGATTTGATAACTGTCTACTGAATATTGACAAATAAGCAGAAGTAGGCTCTGGGCTATGCTCAGCTGATAAACCACTGTTAGGTCCTACATTGCATCTCTTGAGGATGGATTCTTTTATATTCAGAATACTCTGACTTTGCCTGTTTTTGCTGTCAACTCTTTCTTTGAGAGACCAATTGTTTTCTCTGTGAATTACCAATGCTCCTGGCTTGCTTGTCCTCCTTTCTATTTCTTGCTTATGTTTAAGAACTTCACTCTAATACTATTGAAGCTTAGTTTTGTTGAATATTGTCTATGTGGATTTTCTGACTCAGAGTTCTTCCTTACTGGCTAAATGGTGATAGTAATATTGATGATCATAAGAAGTACTTCAAATGATTTCTATAAGGATTAAATGAAATAATTCATAAGCAAACCTTTAGCAGAGGAGTTCTCAAATTTAACTGCTTATGAAGTCACCTGAGAAGCTTTAAAAAATGCTGAGACCTGCTTTCTACTCCCAGACATTTTGTTGCCATAAAAATCAAATTGATACAGGTGTGGCGTGAACTATAGAGTTCTGAAAAACAAATTTGCATCAAAATTGGACACCACTTTCTTAACTTATTGCTGATATATGAAAGTCACTAAATGTTGGTCACTATTGTTGGCCAATCTTATACAATAATTTGTTATTTTTGTTATAATGAAACATTTCAAGTCAAATTTGCAGAAAGACACTTTTTATTCCACTGAATTTCAAAAAGTTTATATTATCAAGAGGGCTCAGAGAAGGACCTTGGCTGAAAGGGGCTTTGTGGATCAATAGGCAAGAAAAAAGTAGATATTAATAGCAGTTTAAAAATCTTCAAGTAACCAAAGAAAACTCCAGCTCAAACTGGATAAATGAAAAGATAATTTATTTTAAATGATTGGAATATATTGAAAATTTCAGTGGAAGTGCTAGGTTCGGATGAAGTCTCATTCAGTTGCTCAATGAATGTCACCAAGGATGAGACACCTTTTTTCACTGCTCTGTCTTCCAAGGTGCTGTAAAGGGTTTCATTTTGTTCTGAGGTTCTTCATGATGGCCACCCTCTGCACACACCCAGGCAACTCCTGGCTTCTCTGCATAGCAGCAGTTCTATAAGGTGTGTGCCAAAAGAGAGACTATCTGTCCACTAGAATATTCCAGAATGATTACAGTATAACTACCTTGTAGAAGAGGGCATATGGCCTGGAAGAGAAAATGTAAATAGACACGTAAGTTGGCTGGAACAAAATCAGCACATAGAGTAGAAGATTAAAAAGTATAAATGTACTAGTATGAAGTAGTAAAGAAAGCTTGAAACCTGGGATAGAAAGGCAATGTAACTTGAGGACAGATTGAACACAAGACTTTCTGTGGGGGCTTGTAGATCATAAAGGGAGGGAGAACATTTGTGGAGCAGATATTTAGCAAAATACCCAGGCACCCCGCAAATATTTATCTGTGTATTCATATGATTTTTGTTTTTTACAGCATCTCATTACGTACACATTCAGGATCTAGTTGAAAATGAACTGTTTTCTGTGCCTGCTGTGATTTGAAATAACATTTATAGGAAATGGAAAAGCTTCCATGTGTTGCCCTGTTGATGAATTTAAATGTCAGCTGCCTACACAACACATATACTTCCAGATCTGCTTTTCTGTATATAACCTTTGTTCAAGTTGTCGGTTTTGAAATTTCTCATTGGAGAGAAATTGGGAGATTTTTATCCAAACATAAAAAACCAAAAGATAAAAAACATCCTTATCCTTTGAAATCTAAAATTTTCTTATTTTTTCTTACTTGTTCTCTTTCTTCCACCCTCCCACCCCCCAAGGTTTACAAAGAGCATGTTAAGGCAATGTGCTGTGGTCTAGATAACTTGTCTATGCTATATACATGTATTTTCTGAATCATTTCAAAGGCATCTTTCATTTAATAAAGAGTGTTTATCACTGTGACTTTTGATCTGTTAGTAGTTTGTGACCCAGTAGATCAATCTAGTGACTTATGTGCAGCATGAATAAATAACATTGCCTTGACCAGAGTGGAAAATATCAGTGTGTTGTGCAGAGCAAGTTTTTTTTTTTTTTGACACTTTTCTCATATATGTGAGTGTATATTCTGGGCTACAAAACAAAGTGTAATTTTTACTTTGGGCCATATCAGAAAGGTTTAAAAAAATGCAGCTGAAAAAGATTATTTCTTCATCCTCAAGATTCTTAGGAAGTATTGAGTCCTTATGCACATGGAAAAGTAGATGAAACCAAGACAGTAGAGATACAGGCTCAGGTGTCAGCTCTGCAATAAAGGAGCTTAAGGAGGTTGTGCCTTCTGCCTGCACCGCTACTTCCCCATCTGTGAAATGGGAATATAGAGTATGTGGTTTTAGGTGTATAAGCTCAGTTGGTCCTTGATTCCAGCTTTAAAATCGGGAAATTAACCAACCAATGCTCTCTACCTTACAGATTCTAA